TAGCTGTTCAATAATGCATCGTCTGTACAATTTTGTTGGGGTTTGACTTGGTTTGTACGCCCATATGCGCATAGTAAAACAAATAGTTCCTCATCTTTCCAGGAAACTTATAAAACATTGATTTTAAATAAAAAACATCGCTTAGAGGTTCAATAATATATATATATATAATTATAATGTTGAAGTGGACTGCCTCGCTTTCACAGTGGGTCTATGATTTTTGTAGGTTTTGTAGGTGTACCGTAGGTTGATGGTTTCAAAGCCGTTATCCGCAAAAAACAGCCTCACTGTCAACCTCACAGCTGACTGCGGAGCAGTACCAACACCGTTTAAAGATCATGCCTCATTGATATGACCTGCTATTGTGAAATCTTTCTTTTTTTTATTATGCTATTTAAATTACTTATTCATTACCCAAATTGATAATTTTCTTTGTCTAATTGTTGCTTGTGTCTAATTTTATTCATATTGTGCCTAATTTGTCTTCAATTAGCTTTTTTTGTACACTACATGTAACACATTTGAATTGTGATGTTAATGGCAAAATAACAGCGAGTGATATGTAATTAGCATAGTCTTCAGGCATTTACCCTTTTGACATGCTTTTTTTAATTAATTTTTTTGTAACTTGAATTTATTTTTATTAATATTTTTTGTTTGAAATTTATGGGTTTTGCATGACAAATAAAAAACGACCTCAAAAGTTCGTGAAATTACATCTATTGCCAAGTTCCATTGTCAAGTGTGCGAAACCGGATTCATCCCCTACTTTGCCACCCTTACAAGTGGAATGTTTCTTTCAAATTTAAATGGGACCAATACTTAGGTGTAAAGTCAAATAATCAATTATTCCATAGGTCAAATTTTTACACTTAAAAACGTAAATTTTTATGCTACTGCTCGTTCAGTATGCTGACCTCCCTGAGAAGAACAAGCAAGATACTGCTCTTTTCAAATAAATGCTATGGAATACACTTTGAAACATAATTGTGTGGAATCAAGACTCATGTTGTCTTTCCATACATCTTTATTTAACAAATACTCTTCAATTTTTTAATATGACTTATCAATTAAAATACTTTTAACGCAAGTTTTAAACTTAGGAAATGATAATCTTAATATATACTCCGGAGTCTTATTACAAAAACGTATACAGTTCCCTATAAAAGAATGGTTTACCTTGGTTAAACGAAATCGTGGCACCATGAGTTTGGACTTAGTTCTAAGGTAAATATTACGGATATGTTCTTTCTTAATGAAATTATGAATTTTTATCCTCTTTCCAATAAAAACAAAGAATTATCAAAATCGGTTCATAAATGGCGGAGTTATCGCGTGTCATACATACAAGACAATTCACGCAACACAACACAAAAAAACACAACACTTTTGTTTATTACACAGATATAAAAAAAATTCTGACTAGTTTAATACTATGTCGATAAGTATGGTGACTCTCTATGAAAATCGCGGGTCACAATGCACGTCAATTATACCCCGTGTGGATGAGGTTTTTTTACCAAACGACATTGACTTCTGCAGCACATTATCATGTCGTTACGAACAAACATAACGCGTAGTGAAATCTAATTAAATGACAAGCCAAACAGTGTATTTTTGTCGCCATAGTTGACAACTTCCTCACTGTCACGCCAATATTTATCGTAGCAAAGTATTTTTTTTCCCTCGTGGAAGAATGACATAAGTGGAGTTACGTCAAAAACATTTATTACTCCATTAGATACAAGAAAATATGACCCACATCCTCTCCAATTCTTGTAATTCTATCGACTAATTTAACTGCCTCCGTGGCCGAACGGTTACCATACCGGACTGCCACGCAGAGGTCCCCGGGTTCGATTCCCGGGCCGGGAGAAATATTTGTATGGCCTACATTTATTTCTCTCGTGAGTTTGGGTGTAATTTGTGGTTGTCTATGTGTGTGTCCATGGCACCCGCGACACAGGGTTTTCCCTAGTGCGGGGCTATGTTGAGTGTGTGCGTTATTATTATTATTATTATTATTAATATTGTAGATAAAGTTACAAGAATTGAAGAGAATGTGGGTTATGTTTTTCTGTATCTAATGGAGCAATAAACGCGTTTGACGTAACTCGACTTATGCCATTCTTCCTTGAGTGGTGCAATTTCACAATAAACAATTCACACTACAGATAAACTTATCAAAGCGAGTGCCACTGTGTCATCTCTCAAAAACACATTGTAGTTGTAAGAAATTCAATATTAGAAAAGCCTACAGCCTACCAAAGGAGCCTACGCAAAACAGTAAACATAGTCACATGGCGTACGAAACAAAATGTTTGGGGACCTCTGATATATCATGTACATTATCAATAAATCATTTGTTATTTGATTAATATTATGTTGAGTTGTGAGAGAGGGTGAAAAAATTAACTACATGAAAAAGATATTCCGTCAATGTGCATAATAACCGCCTAAGTATTTTAATAACCGGCAATCTATCGCACCACCGCACTACATGTCTATCAACCCTGACGTTGGCGAAATCGTCGCGCAAAACGACGGAGCCATAGATACAAAAGTTGAAGTTGAAAAAGATATTCAATACAAGTGCAGCCAGACTGCCACACCGAGATCCCAGGTTCGATTCCTGGGCCAGGTGAAATAATTGTATGGCCTACATTTATTTCTCTCGCGAGTTTGGGTGTAATTTGTAGTTGTCTATGTGTGTGTCCATGGCATCTGCGACACAGGATTTCCCTAGTGCTATGTTGAGTGTGTGCGGCTATTGTGCACTATTTAATCACAATAACTATACACACACCCTACCCGCCTAGCCCTGCACTAGAGAAAGCCTGTATTGTGGGTGCCATGGATATACACAACCACAAATTAGAAATAGATTAGAATAGATAAAAATCTACCAGGCTGGGAATCGAACCCAGCACCTCCGCGTGGCAGTCCAGGGTGACAACTGTTCAGTCACAAAGCAATTAAAATTAGCCTTCAATGGGTTTGTGAAGTAGTAAATTGATTTAATTCCAATATATTATCGCATTTAACACTTGCCATCTGAACCAGCCCTGACAGTGCTATTGTCAACATCTGTAACATTATTAATGCTGTCTTTATCAGCATTTCTAATTTTAAGCTCTTAGTATGGGTGTTACTAACTCCTAAATTTATTATATTATGTAATGTGTAATAAATAATAATTTCTTTGTTCTCTAAGTTATTATTTACACTTAATGGATTTTTACCTTATACATTCGACAAGTGTATTTCATCATTTAGTCACGGCTACGTGTGTAAAGTTCTTGAGCAGCAATCTTAAATCTATATTCTTTAAGTTCATTTTTCTCTTCTTGTCAAGGATACTGTACTGGTTGACGTCAACCAGGTGAACAATAACCGAAAAAGAGAAGCGGTATAGACTCATATTCCAAACCACATTAAAACTATAAGTTGGATCTGATTACGGTACAAATGGTGACAGTCAAAAGAAAAGTTTTTTTTTCTTGCTGCATAAAGCCTTGAGAGTCAACAAAATTTCTTACAGATAGCACTACAGCAATAAAGTTGTCAAAAACCAAAAACAGAGATCTGCAACAAAGACAGAAAAATCCGTAACGTCTGCTGGTTAGTTCCATGGTTTAATTGATAGAGCATCTGGTACGGAATGCCTGAGAGTTTTGGTTCGATTCCAGTCAGATCAAATTAATTTTTCTTAGCATTTCAATCTTTGTTATAGTAATTATAACAAACTAGTGAAGTAATTTCACAAAAAAAGAATTTAATATTGTTGTAGTAACATATCATGACATTATATATGACAATAATCATAAAAAATAAACATGTTCTTGTTAATAAGAATTTTGTGTTAAAGAGCGTTTATATGGAACCCTACATATTAAAATATAATTTCAACACAGATCTGTAAGTGTATCACTATAAGTTTATGAACCACAGGTGTCCTTATTGCTCAGTAGCAATTTCTTCATTTGCAGCAAAGGGAAAAATATTACTTTCTATATTTATGTGTATTTTTTTATGCCAGACAGCCACACAGAGGTCCCGAAGAAATATTTGTAGGGCCTAAATATTACTCTTGTGAGTTTGGGTGTAATTTGTGGTTGTCTTTGTGTGTGTCCATGGCACCCGCAACACAGGGTTTCCCTAGTGCGGGGCTATGTTGTGTTGAGTGTGTGTGACTAAAGTACTTGGAATCCAAGATTGTGAAATAAATTTAAAAATGTACTATACAATACCTGAGAACTTGCATGCAAAGTCATGAAATATTTTATTTTTAGGTGTAAAAAGTATAATATGTACCAATATAAAATTTTCTTTCAGAAATACAGGACAATAATGACTTGGTAAATTCAAAAATTGGAAACAATATAAGGTTATTTGTTTATGTGTTATCTTATAAAGCTGGGAAATAGATACCACTCTTAAAACAAAAAATTTCACAACTTCATGAATTAATACACATAACCTATACACGACATGGGTCAAATGTCGTTGAACTCAATATTTTTAAGAAACAATTTTGCAAAACCAATTTTTTTTTAAATTCACGCCTTTTATTTACACTTTCGTGACATATACGTAAGGTTTATTATACCCTGGTGTAAGTGTTAAATCACATTCGGCAGATCGATATTCTTCCAAAAACATGTAAACGCATCACGTTCATTGGAAAATCAATACGTGGAAATTTCTTTCGTCTAATTTTTATCCTACGCGAAGGTTATTTACCATGTTGATTTTTTAAATTAAGGTGTATACTAACTCCTAGGGCGTTAAATAGGAGACTTAGGGCATCAGGAAGGCTTTAAATGAGGGTATTACGTAGATGAAGAGGTTAGATCAGACGCATGGAACGCGTACCAGCGCGCATGTCTCCTTGGATGACGCATATATTTTGGCATTTTAACCACTTACTGCGGCCAAAACGTATACTGAACAAAGTTTGATGTGTATTTAGACAGTTATTATGCATAAATAAGACTCACCCCCTAGCCATTTCCAAGCTTTTGATAAGTTTCTTGATCTTCCAAATTTCAACATTGCGATCGGCTGACGATTCCTCAGACATTTTTACGGCGTTTTAAAATAATATCACCACAAAACACTAATAATAATAATATGTAAATAATAAAACAAAGTCTTTAAAATACACAATTAAACTCGTAAATAGAGGGAAAGTGAGACCAAAATGTGGTTTTAACTGCAATAAACCAGATCAGACCAGATGGACGAGAACCTCGCGACAATGATCCACTTTCTACTTCACATTTAAGTCTAACAACACTCGTACTTTTCTTCTCGTGCGAGGATTCTTTAATTTTTTCTTTATTCGGTTACCCCTAAGCATGTGGGACGCAGAAATCAGACATTACACGGGTAAAAAGATGACGTGAACAAGCGAACGATCGAACGAACGCCTCGTCGTCCGTCGGATCGGAAAAATGAAAGAAATTGAATTTAATTCGGTGTTGCTGCACGGACAAAACTAAAAGGAAAAAATATTCTTAAAACTGCCCGTACACGGAAAACGGTGAGCAGTACTACTGCCACTCAGTATCGAGTAGCAGTACTACAAACAAATGAGCGAAACGATAGAGTGCAAGTAGTACAACTGTATAATCGATCGACTGATTGGACTCGACTGTTACCACTACAAATGTCAATTAACGTGTTACCGTAAAAACTCTTCTACTTCGCGCTTCTCTTGAGTAAAGAGTAATTTTATTATTATTTTTTATTTGACAATAACTTGAAAGCTATCGTGAAGCTATTATACTATTATTATTAATACTATTGTGAGGCATACTTGACAGTTTATATATCTGTGGCCCTCCGTACTTGTACAACTACGATCAAACACGTTTACTATTTCATTAATATACGTCATTTTTTTCACGTACTACGAGCGAGTGAGTTCTGATCTGATAGTAACACGGCAAGTTTACTATGTCCTCTGTGTATAATTTTGTTAAACACTAATTAATACCTATTTTTAATATATAAATAAATAAAATGGAGTCAATAAGAATTGGAATAATCTACGGACAATGCCGCTGTTGTCTGAAATATGGACATCATCGAAATATTTTGAAAGAATACCAAAAAGACAGCGTGCGGGAAATTTACTATAACATTTTTGCCGAATGTTTTAATTTATACGTAAGTTTTATACGTTAATTTAGTTATAAGGCGTGTTAAAATGGATAAGATTTACGACGTACGTAGATAAAAACTCCATATGTGAGAATTTTTCCAATTATTGAAAAAAGTACTGTTGCTGAAAATCTAACATTTACCACCTTTAGTTAATGTATCTTTTTAACTTTCTAATCGTGTTTTCTCAATGCCACCATTTTTAAGTTACAACAACAGTATTTGGTTTCATGTACATATGTGTAGAGGTGGGCGTTTAAACGAAAAGCACTTAAAAAAGTCTGCTTTTTAAAATAAGCGCATATGCACGCTTTTCATTTTAAGCGTAAGCATTGTTTTTAAACATAAAGTCTATGCGCTTAAACGTTTTTTTAAACGACTTTTTAAGCGTCAAACTAAAAAGCGTTTAGGTGAAAAGCGCTTTTACAAGTACGCTTTTTAAACGTTAAAAAAATAAGCACTTTTTTCCATTTCAGCGGTTAACAACTACAAAAGTTAAACATCTTATGTTTTTGAATGCTTTTAAACGCCAATTGACAAAATGTTAAAATAATAATGTTGTCATAATAAAAATATATCTAATTTTTTACAAAAAAACTTACTTATATTAATACCTTTAGTGGCCTACGCTTGCGTTTCGCTATTATTACAAGGTTGCAAGCTTTTTTTTAACATAAAAGTCTATGCTACGCTTAAACGTTTTCTAAACGATTTTGTTAGCTTCAAACTAAAAAGTGTTTATGTGAAAAAACATTTAAAAAAGCATGCTATTTTAAAAAAACATAATGTTTAAACATTTAAAAAATAAGCAGTTTTTCCCATCTTTACATATGCGACATACTAATAATAATAATAATAAAATCTTTCAGCTATCCACAAATGCAGACATAAGCATGCTCATCTGTACGAGCTGCATCCAACGCCTTCACGACGCTAGCAGCTTCAAAGCCCTTGTTGTTGACTCGGAGAGACATCTCCTGACTGCAATTGGGGATAAAGAGATGCTGTGTGTTAATGGTAGGGTTTGCATTACATTGCCTAGTGACCATATTTACGACGATATCAATAAATAAATTAAATAACACAATCGCATTGAAATCTCCAGCAGAGCTGTCCAGAGATGTAAGCTATACTTTAGGATACGATGGAACTGACAAATACATTGTACACAAGTTCCTAAATAAATAAGTAATAACAAATGATTAATCCACAGTGGGTACCCTGGTTTGATTCTGTCAATATAGCAAAGAAATATCTTGTATCGGCTTTTAGACTGCGTTCTGGTCAGATTGCAACTAATAAATTCTTCCATGTGATGGGTTTTAAACCATCCCCATTGTGCAGCACTTGCAATAAAATAGAGGATCTGTATCATGTATTGGTGGAATGTGACTGTAACGTAATCCTGAGAGGTACAATGTTTAGAAATGTAAGTTTATGCAATGGACAAATTAATTGTTGGCTCAGAGAGCCTGTATGTATTGTCGCTCTACAAGTGTACAAATTTTTTAAACATGTTTCTTGAGTAGGGAACTCAGTATTCCTCCCATGAGGCTGACATAGTCACTCAAGGTGGCTAAAGCTTCAATAAAATTTAAGATTAAAAAAAATGGCATTGAACTGGGCCAACGTAAACAACAGAGACAGAAGGTTTCATAGGGGCCAACACAAACTGCAGAAGCCAACACAAAGCGCAGAGGTCATTAAAGTTATCAATATATATTTTCTGCTTTTTAAATTTTAGTAACGTATAAATTTCAACCACCACATACCCAGCGTACATATTCGACGTCGCACAAAGGTGGGTACGAGGATAGCCAAGCTTAAGTGGAGGTGGGCGGGGCACTGGGCTAAAAGGGACGTTGAAAGATGGACGAAAGCCGTTACTAAATGGTGGTCAAGATACGCAAAAAGACCAAGAGGCAGACCACCCGCCCGATGCCATCTAGGCCATAGTTGGGAACCACTGGACACAACTCGCAAGGGTCCGGAAAGAATAGAGAGGAGGCCTATACTCAGCAGTGGGTGCAAACATTCGCGTCTCAAAGCTTTGAAATTTATGCCTTGTTAGCCATATATAACCTAGTTACATTACCAGCACTGGGAGAGGAAAAAATATTCCTGCTACAGAACCAGGTAATATAGCAGGAATGTTTGTTTCCCTTACAAAACCAGTATGGCGGACAGGTAATGCACAAAGAAAAAAAATTCTGCTACATACTTTATTCCAATTGTAATAGCATAAAATACATGTTGATAATTTAATGTCCTCTGCCTTACCATTCACCGGTTGAAGTTAACTCTCTCAGACTTATCAACACCCAAAGATAATTCCAATGGATTAGAATTCTATGGATCATATCATATATGGATCATCATAATTTGACATTTCAGAAACAAAATTAAATATCTTGTCCTTTTTTACTCTTAACGAATACACAAAACTTAAATTACGTATAGTTTAATTTATTAATTAATTTAAAAAAATAATTAATTCATTAAAATGGCATATAATTAAGTTAAGTTAAAAATATCATTGACAAATAAACTAACTCACAAAAAAATTTATTAATCCATTAAAATGTAATAAGTGCATTAATTAAATTTAATTCATGTATGTAAACGTGTAATACATCTCATCAACTAATCAGCTTAAATTCTATTTTCAGTACCAGGAAACCAAGAGATGTTAACAGACGTGAAATCAGAGATCAAGCAGGAAATGAGTGACGTGGATGACTTCGATGGTGACCCAGATTATGAACCCTCGGATGCAGAAGATGGTATAATAATAATATTTATTTATTTTAATAATAATAATTTAATAAGAAACTGTCCTTAGAATCATCGCTGGTAACGGTAATTAAAATTATATTTCATGATAAAAACATATATTGTAAATGAAAACAACTTTAATTAAAGTTACTTTGAAGTATTTAACTTAAATGCCGCAACCCTGAATGGTGTGTCCCGAGCGAGTGTATGGCAGCTCGGGCTCGCACCCCCCGCACGATTGCTCGTATGGGGGTGGAGAATTACTCGCCTGATGCGTTGGTATCCCTTAGTACGTGAGAGTCATTTAACCCGATGTAATTACAGTGCCTCAACATTATTTTGAATAATAGTCGATAATAAATAGACCGGCCATTTGTCACATTTGCCGAGATTTAAAAAAAAGGTATAATTTTGAAGAAATTGGAACACCATTCCGTTAACGCCTTACTGCATCTGTCATTACCTATGTCCCTATCTACCGACCCGAGAGATAGGGTTTTCCGGAGAGACTACGGGCTCGACGGCATGACCAGGGTACAGCGGGCATCCGGGCCAAGCCCTCCGCCATTGATACGCCTTTGCGGGCGTCTCTGGCGGACCTGGACTTGGGGGTTCGTGGTTAGCTGCAGAGACGGACATGTTTGTCTGCCTCGGTTGCATGTGGCCGGGGCGTCTATCTCGTGAGCAGCAAGCGCGTATTAGTAGCGGTCTAGTTGAAGGCCTGAAGCGAGGGAGACGCGCGGGGCACGTGAGTTGCCCTTTAACTTGAAAGCTATGTTCGGACATTGTCGCAGGATACTGCGACTGGCATCTCCGGCACTAGCCCGAAGAGCTAGTAGAGTATAAGCTAGACATCCTCCGGTCCCTCCAGCCGCTTAGGTTATTGGGAACTGGAGAAACGTCGTTTTTCAGCGTCGGGAAGTGAGCGTGCCTTGCAATTCCGCCACAATAAGGAGATTTGATTGTGGACTAAGAGTCGACGGTTTAGCGGTGGCAACCGCTAGTTGTGCAATGTGCAACGGGAAGTGAGCGTGCCTACAGCTCCGGTACCTAACTGGAAAATAAGGAGGGTACTGTACGTGCACCCGGGGCGGCTCATCCGAGGCACTAGCCTCTCGAAGAACCGGATGAAGTCAAGGGACAGAGGTCTGTGACAACCCTGTACACTGGCTGATCTGGGGTCCGAAGATGAACTTGAAAGGTTCCTGTATGCGCACAGGTCATAGTGCCCTTCTCGCCCTCAGGGTAGGTAGGGAGGGTCACAATAATTACAACTAACGTAGAAAGATATGGAGCCGTCATTACCTATGGTCCGAAAAAGGTGTTCCAAATATTATTATATAAATTTTGAAATTTTGAATCGTTCTCTAATTTTTTTTTCTCGTTCTTACTTTGTTTCATCCCGTTGTCACTCAGTACTCAAAATTATCCCCAAAATGACCACGAACAGATATTTTTAAGGATAAATCATTCTACGAACAGGTCTTAAGATTAAGCCATTCTACCTACCGATCGTTTTAAGAATAGGGCATACGGCGATCAGAACTTTTAACTCCTCTCTTTATTCTATTTATGAATATAAACAGCCATACAAAGGTGAGGCCGTCAAAAATGGCACTTTTTCGTCAAAAGTATCATCATAATCGGTTCACAAATAATATCGTAACATACAAAAAAAACAGTCGAATTGACTCCTTTTTTAAAGTCGGTTAAGAACCCACAGACATACATTTAAATAGATAACGCAAATCCCGCGATCTGTGTGAAAACCAAGCGAGCACACATTTTTTGTACCTCCTATGACGTCAAAAGCGCTATTTAGTTATGGGGAACATCCTTCCGCGCTAAATCGATTGATTGAATCGAAGACGCAGACTCACGCGTATTTAGAACAACGATTTTTCAAGTATTTATTGATCATAAGGAGTCATGAAGTATTAATATAGTAAAAAATACCAAAAAAATAAAATAAATGTCAGTGTAAAAACTTTTTGTGTGTAGTAATGATCTTGCCGCGGTCGCTACTGACCGCCGTTGCCTGCAAACAAAAATGACCCTTTAGGTGGTAAACGTCGACTTCGCTCAGAGTACAGGACATCTCTTTTTTTTTACAGAGCCTACAACACCACGAGAATATCAAGTGGAACTAGTGGAGGGAGAAGCGGAACTCCTAGCTCGATTTAAGCCTGGAAAACTTATTCCTCCTGACTCTTCAAAATCATTAATAGGTAACCACTTTAATATACTAGTAATGAATTTAAGAGGCAATGTATTAATTATTAGAATATTCATGGAATCGTTGTCAAGTTTAATGTTGTCAATTTTGTGATGGTGCTGACCTTCTTCACCGTCATCCCACTTTTTTTATCACCCTTTTTACTGGGTCCTCGTCACTTTAAAAATTTTGAATTGTTCTGGAACTCCTTTTCCTTCCACTATTCTAACGTTGGTTCGTTCCTTGATCACTCCCATCAAAATTATCGTAGCGAGAGGGACGTGCATTCTTCTGTAAGTTTATACTGTTTAAAAATCAAAATAATATGTGCATTTTATGACGACCTCTTTATCTGGCATCCATAGTACTTTTTTTTAATAATATCATGTGACGGGACCATTGACTTACAATTATATGGACGTCGGGTCCGCGCTAAAAAGTGTCCGAACTTATAGGGCGTTAAAATCGTATACAGAGCGTCATTCACGCTTTAGTCTTCGTTTATTCGACTGACAGCGAAGCAAGCAAAATTAGACAGTACTGCGATGACATTACAATTTAAATTCAACGTTTTAGCTTTTTCATATTCCTTTACATGTCACTACGTTTAAATAGGTTGACTCTGGACATTTTTTTCGTGGTTTTTGTATTAGACCCGTCGTCCATTTATTTGTAAGTCAATGGACGGGACGAACAAATCGTGCGCCTGATGGTAAGCACACGCCTGTCCATAACAGTTGCAGTGCCACTCAGAGCTTTAAATCTGCCACTGCGCCAGTCATCGTGAGACATAAGTTGACAAGTCCCATGTGCCTGTTATTTCACCCTTACCCTTCAAAACCGGAACATAGTAATGCTGACATTACTGCTTGGCGGCAGTACTTCCCTAGACGAACTCTTTTAGAAGAAACTGTACTGCTGTTAAATACTGGGCTACCAAGGTCGATTACAATGTGATTATAACATAGTAATTAAAAAAGAATCTTTTGTTCTGCAATCTTGAGCTTCTTTTCTTTCTTCTAGACCTATCCAACGCGGCTGATCTGGTAGCAGGAGAGGCGGAATTGCTGTCGCGTTTCACGCCGCAAGAATTGAGACCCCTGCCGATGACGCGTGACGCACTATACTTCATCTGCCCCACATTTGCCTTGCACTTGGATCAGCTTAGAGGTACATCATGAGTTTATTGGATGTTGTGATATTGAAAGTTTTTTTTATTGAATGTCAGGATCTTACATCATCATGACATTCAACTATTTTTGTGAAATTACTACACTAGTTTGTTATAATTATTAATACAAAGATCGAACACTTCGAAAAAATTCCTTCCGAACCAACGTCTCCTAGGAAACCGTGCCAGACGCTATGACAACTAAGCCACGGAACGAACCAGCGGTCGGAATTTTTCCATGTTTGTGCTTGTTGTCGGATTTTCAACTTTTTTCCCGTAGCGCCATCTGTGAGAAATTTATGAAAGTATTTCTTCACCCATTTAGATACCTTTACAGCTACCAGCAGCTGGCTAGAGATGTTGCTTTTAAATCGTGATTTGAGTATTTTTAGTGAATGATTTTTATTGTAATTTTATGAAATATTCTTTATTGCACAAAAAATAGAGCTCCTTGTGAAAGAGTTCATCCAGGGAAGTACTGCCACTGTACCTTCTTCTACCGCCAAACAGTAATGTGAGCATTACCGCCTTCAGATTTTGAAGGGTAAGGGTGCTGGTGAAATTACAGGCACATGGGACTTATCAATTTATGTCTCAAAGTGACGGGCGCAGTGGCAGTGCCCCTCAGATCCGAATCTTGCGATTTAAAGCTCTGAGTGGCTCTGCATATGTTATGGACAGGTGTGAAGCTTACCGTCAGGCGTAGGACTTGTTCGTTCCGTCCCTTGATATTATAAAAAAAAAACTTTGGGAGAATTCAATAATTTTAGTAACGTTTTTTTTTTTCAGGTAAAGTAATAACAGCGAAGATGATAGCGAAGCAGCTGGAGGACTCCGAACATAGGCACGAAACCGTCAGCAAGAAAAGAATCATATCTGAAAAACAAGCTCTAATCACAAACGCATCAAATATAATAGTAAACTCCAATGTCACACCGTTCCGATGCAAAAACAGAACAGGATTCCCTTGCTTCTACTGCAGAAGCTTATTCGAGAACCTGGAAAAACTTCAAGAACATCAAGAAGTTTCACACAAAAGAACAGACGCAAAAAGTGTTCTAGCAACTCTGGGCCCAGAAAGTTTAATTGTCTATGTAGATGTAACAGACTTAAAATGCACCTTATGCGACCGAAACATGGCAAACATAAATGAATTGAAATCCCACCTAATTAAGACTCACAATAAAAAGTTTTACGCAGATTTCACGGATCGCGTGGTGCCTTTCAAACTATCCGGTAATAACATTTTCGAATGCCAAGTCTGCGGTTTTAATTTCGAAACTTTCGGTTCTATAGAGAGGCATATGAATGTTCACTTCCGTAATTACGTGTGCAATGAATGTGGTTCAGGCTTCGTGACTAAATACCGTTTGAAAGTACATTCGAAAAGCATGCACGTAGAAGGCAGCCACCCTTGCGAAATCTGCAAAAAAATATTCGCTTCCACTCAAAAATTAAAAAACCACACGGACGCCGTGCATAAACTAGTGAAAAGATTCAAATGTCCGAAATGTTCGGAACGTTTCACCGAATATTTTCGAAGGCAGAAACATTTGGTGACGGTTCACGGTGTTGAACCCTTAAAGTACAACTGTAACGTTTGCGATAGGTCGTTTGATCGAAGGTTCACTTTGTCGCGACATATGAAAAGGGATCATTTGGAAGAGCGCAATTATCAATGCGAAATGTGTTCGTATAAATGTTTTACCAATAACGAATTACGAGTGCACATGATAAAGCATAACGGGGAGCGGATTTTCGAATGTTCGGTTTGCAAGAAATCTTATGCGAGGAAGAAAACTTTGAAAGAACACATGAGAATTCATAATAATGATAGGCGTTTTGCTTGCGCTGTGTGCGGACAGGCGTTCGTGCAGAAGTGTAGTCTGAAAGGACATATGAAAACTCACCACATGGAATACACATTGTAATATATCACGATCTTTTACAATGTACAGTACCATGGTATTCAATTTTTTTGTGGAATTACTACAAAAACGCAGATCGAACACTAAAGCGTGAAACATACAGAACGGGTGCGAGTCGGGCGCGTGTCGGGTCGGGAGCACAACGGGTATAAATCCTATGGACAACACGCTACGAGCAGTTTGTGACACAAACCGTGACTGTAATGAGAAACAAGGCCCGAGTTTTATTTTTGGGCATTATAATCAAGCCTGCTTGCAATAATACAATTGTGTTGAAAAGTTCATTATGCTATGTACAATTTCGTTATGTATTTTCGCTCCCACTCCGTTCGGAATGTAAATTCAGTCTTAACACTTCACAGACATGAATTCAAATTTAAAATAAGACAGTTTATTTGTTACTTCCGTTGAAGTACTTCCGAAAAGATGCCCCGGCTACGTGAGCTAAGCTAAGTTAGCTATAGTCCATCTGTTTAGGTACTTAAATAAATGTAAACAATCTTGAGAGGTCTATTTAATGAAATATACATTTATAAAATGATTTTCCCTTACCTTCAAATACAAAATACAAATACTTAGCTTCATATGAAATTGCATGCCTATTTTTATACCTATTGATTTGTAAAGCATGTGTTTCAATAAAAAGATGTATCAAGATTGTTTACATTTAGTTAAGTACCTAAACAAATGGACTATAGCTTCGATAGCGGTGTGGCTTGCGTTTTAAGGTAAAGGTAAATACTTGCCTGTTCTGGATGTCTGAATTATTATGAACTGACGGAGTTGTACCACTGTAAATGTTTATAAATAAATGAAAAAACACAAATACAAAACTAGCTCTTTATTTCCATAAACGCAATTAAAACAAATTCATTTGAAGTTATCAACTTAAAAGTACAAACAAAAACCTTTATTAAGTCACGATTTGTGGTGACTGTTTTATACAAATTAAAAATTAACCTCCTTATTTATGTACAATCGACAGACACTAATCGATCGATTTGTAAGTATAGACTAACTTATATGTATTGGCGTGTTATTTCCGGTTTCGATTATGGCAAGGGCGTTTTCCTTGGGTTCAATTTCTTTCGTCGCGGAACGGAATTCGTGAGAATGCTCGAGAATTCACGCGACTGCGCCTAGGGGTTGTACTAGGGGTGATCTGTTGTTTCGTATTTTAACCTTCTGTCCGGATTTAAAAAAATCCGAAAATTGTTTTTCAGAATAAAAAGTAAACTATCACCTAGCAAATTTGTAGTAACTCGATTTACTACAAAACTTTTGTTGCCCGGGCGCTTACACATCTTTGCTGCCGCGTAAGGTTCAATTTACATTGCAGCGGAACGGAAACATCAATTTCGACTCGCTGCGCGAGAAGGCACGCTCGATCGCTGGATTGCTGGAGCAATCTCAAGCTTTCTCGCGACTGCGTTTTGAGGCTGTAGTATTTCGTCGACGTTTGACGTCACACTGCGTGTAGTTTGTACTTTACACAATTCACCATAAAGTTAATTACGCTATATATAGTGTTATACACTATCGTTACAAAAATTGGCTACCACTCCGTTCCGCCGCAATGTAAATTGAGCTTAAGAGAAATTTTCTATTTTATTTTGTTAATAAAAAACTTTGGACTTTCTTGCAAATGTCTTGCTATTTGCCCCGACTATACAAATTTGGGAATGGTAACCCTAGCTCCCCCGATTAACACTGGTTCTGCCAGAGGATCGCGAAAATTGTGGTAACAACCGAGACACACTGGAACAACCCCTCCGAACTCCAGATCTCATTGCGTTGGCCTACCATTTAATTATGTCGTTACTTGTGGTCCCTCAGTATCAACCAATTCCTAAGAACTCAGACTGCTTGTAGTGCGTATTTATAATGTAACAACTACCCACCTTTGCTCTCAATAGCTCTTAATGCTGTAAGGTTTCGGTCCATAATTATCTTAATTGGCCGGGTCTGATTCGCAATATCGAAAGTCACAACGTCGATTGTCGTTGTATCGAAAACGTTACGTCAACGGGTCGTTGCAGCTAAAGGTCACAATATCGAAGGACTATACATCGTTGTACCCTACATCGATGGTACGTTGCATCGACGGTACGTTACATGTTACGCTACATCGAAGGTCTATACATCGACGTACCCTACATCGATGGTACGTTACATCGACAGTGCAGTATCGACACAGTATTTATAATATTTGCCTGTACGAAATTGCTACTTACAGTATTTGGTTAAGTCGTTACTTGTGGTCCCTCAATATTCAACCGTGACCAATTATTCCTAAGAACTCGGACTGCTTGTAGTGCTAGTGCCTATTTACAGCGTAACTTTTTGTTTAATGGCGGTGTCCTTTTTGGATTTCGCTAATATCGAGTTTAGTAAGTAATTTTAGAGGCTTCTGTAGGTTCTGCTATTCAACGAGTTTTCTGGGAGTACCACGTGAGAAAGTATAAGCTTTAAATTGTGGTAACATGACAATGACAAAGGAACTGCGATTTATATATCCAATATCTGTCAATTCAAACGCAAGCTTTAATGGGGTTCTTCCAAAAATAAATACCTTGCTGCTGCCTTAACCTTGGCGTTTTGACTGCATCCATTGAAACTGACACTGATCCAGGCCTAGTGGCCGCCATTAAGTAAAAAATAATAACGTTGTACCCGCTATGCTGGGTACCTGGAGTCTGTTTCTTTTTCAATTCTGCCCTCCTTGTCATAACTAACGCTACTGCATTTTGGCACCTACTTCTTCTTTTCAATGCTACGGCTCCATCGAATTAAACGATGTGTTCGTCAGTGTCAAGTAAAAATTACTATTACTATTGATTGTCTTGACTATTTGTAAAAATATGACGTCTACTTTATAATGTTAGAACCCCATCGATTCCATATCGGTAAACCCGCCAACACCAAGTCGAGGAACGCACGCATTTTTAACTCAAAGATTGAACGGTAAATTCCTTAAAAAATCACTGAGGAGATAATCTACAAACAACAGCGTACATTCACAGACTACTACAAAAACAAATTTTTATTTTTAATAAACTTACACAGGACATAGACTAAGGAAGAGTGGGCTAACGTTGAGAGGTATTAATATTGACGGAACGGGGGATTTTAGAAGGGAGGATATCATAAAGAGGAATGACGATATGATTATTCAAAAAAAGGTGCTCGAGGGTACTCTCTGCCAGAACGCACTCGCACATGGCGTGTTGTCGAACACGAATCTTGGCCAAGAACACATGAGTACATATGTGAATTAAGCGAACGGCGAATAATTGCAGAGATGATATTTTTCGGAATCGATTTCCTAGTGAAGAACCAAGGTTTAGTGGGAAGACCAGGTTGGATTTTACCATAATGTTTACCTACAGGTTGGCACCTAAGTTTGCTGATTAGCCATAGCGCCATCTATGAGAAATCTATGAAAGTATTTCGTCACCCAGTTGGATAACTTTACAGCTACCAGCCCTGGCTAGAGATGTCGCTATTAACTGTATTTAATATACTTACTCGTTGCCTTACCTCATTTAAATAAGATATTTAAAAACCGCTTATAGAGGGTTGTAGATCTCATTTTGTTAATTTCAGATGTTACACGAAGCGTTGCTTCCACATAATTTATATGGCGAACGGCTATGGAATGCAATTACATGCCTGCAGACTTGTTCCCTGAATAGTAACACCTGAGCCTTTTGAAGACGAGAGTGAATAGGCATTTTTTTAGGTGTGCGTGCTCCATCGACGACTTCATAGTTACTTTCCATCAGGTGAGTTGTAAGTCAAATGCGCACTTATTTTCGACGTTTATGTTATTACGCGATTACTATGGCATTTGTGACCGATTTTAATGATTCTTTTTTTTTTTTGTTGAAAGAGGGTAGCTCAATATTGGTCCCATTTAAATTTGAAGAAAATAAGGGTGGCAAACTAAGGAATGAATCCACTGAAACCAAGGATTTGATTCAAACTTGGCAAACAGATGTAATTCCAATAAAAATGCCGTAACGTAAGCAAACTTTTAAAGTAGGTTTTTTTTAAATAAAAAGTTATTAATAAGAAAATTATTTCATGAAAAAAATTATAACTCAATTTCGCTAAGGCGTCGATCACGTTAGTTATGATAAGGAGGGCAGAATTGTCAACTGTTTACAATTTCATCTGCGTTTCAGAGAATGTGGTTGAGCTTCTAGGTCACGGAATACTGAATAGCAAGCTCTTCTAGTACGGAAGATTATGACCGACACAGTCGGAAGGGCAGAATTGTCAACTGTTTACAATTTTATCTGCGCCTTAGAGGACGTGGTTGATATTCTGGGACCCGAAATAGTGAATAGCAAGCTCTTTTAGTAAGGAAGATTATGAAAACTGACACAGACGGGAGGGCAGAATTGCCAACAGTTTACAATTTTATCTGCGTCTTAGAACACATGGTTGATATTCTGGGTCCTGGAATACTGAATAGCAAGTTTTTTTGGTAAGGAAGATTATGAAAACCGACACAGACGGGAGGGCAGAATTGTCAACAGTTTACAATTTTATCTGCGTCTTAGAGGACGTGGTTGATACTCAGGGTCCCGGAATACTGAATAACAAGCTCGTTTAATAAGGAAAATTATGAAAACCGACACAAACGCGTCAGGCCTCGTTAAGCGTTGCAAGATGCTTAGCATAATGTTTTCGCAAATATTGGGCCGATGAGAATTGTCTCAGGCAGATTGCGCACTCTCTTTTATGCTCACCTTTATGCCACTGCTCATGCTTATGCAGTTGGTGTTTCATCGAGAAATATTTCGGGCACTCACTGCACTTATGCTTCTTCTTTCTCTCTCTATGAACCAACCTCATATGCTTCAGATAATAAGGACGCCAATCGAATTTTCTGTTGCACACCTCGCAAGAAATCGTCTTTACTTTCTCTTTATGGGCTTCCAAGCAGTGGAAATGTCTCGGATATTCACCATTGAACACTTCTGGGCAGTAAACGCATTTGAACTTCATGTTTTTCTTATGGACGTAGTTCATATGCTTTCGCCGGTATCTGTCCAGGGTGAAGACCTTGTCGCAGAACTCACACTTGAACCTCGCACTCATGTGCGTTTCGGAATGTTTTTTGAGTCTGGTCTCAGATATATAAGTCTCACCGCATTGTCCGCACACGTAGTTATTGTAGTGTGCATTCATGTGGCTGTCTAACATATGATATGTCGGAAATTTGGCATTGCAAAGGCAACACAGTAAATCAGCAGTCAGACAATACGGTATGACCTTAGAATACGCCTCATCTAAGTCCACGTCGTGTTTTGTCTTCAAGTGACTGAACATTCCGTTCCAGTGGTCTATTTCTGTGAAGCAAAATGTGCAGTGCAGATTTGCGATGTCCATTTTCAGGACCTCGTTTTTCCATGCCGGTCGCATGATGCTTTCGATTCCGCGTATTCTTTCCGCTGCATGTTCAGTTTTGCAGTGTAATCTCAAATCGTCCGCGTCTTCGAACACGGGGCCCTCTGTGGAGCAGTACGCGCAATAATATCTTCCCGATTTCGACTTATAAGGTGTTGCATTCGTATAGGTTAGGATGGTTTGAATTTCTTTGATTAAATTGTAGTTGTAGCAGACTGGTGTTTTCGTTAGGTCTTCTCCTGGAAATAATAAATTATATGTTATTACCAGTATGAACGTTATTATGGACATACCCATTTTTTTTTAACTGTCTCGTATACTTTTTTAATTGGCTAAAGTATTTAAATAAGTAAATACCTGTAAAAACACAAGTACAATATTATAGACAATAATTTGTAGCCAATATCTAACAAGGAATAATAATTTGTCGCCAATGTACCTACTCAAATTTCAATAAATAATAATAATAACGCACACACTCAACATAGCCCCGCACTAGGGAAACCCTGTGTCGCGGGTGCCATGGACACACACATAGACAACCACAAATTACACCCAAACTAGTTAGTAACTAAGTTAGTATAAATAATACGCATATTCGTAATACGTTTAGTAGCAGTAGAACTCCTTGTGAAATTCAGGCCATAAATACACACTTTATAGACTAACATACGTAATAATATAATAAACCATTAATGACTAATTATTATTTACACACATATTGTCTGCAACGTATGATGCAACATGGGTGTCCGATAGCTGGTCTCGGAAACGTCGGTACCCGACCACCCTTGGGCCAAAATTCGTCCTTCATGAAAGTCGATAGATCTGAGTTGGTACTCTCACCACAAATGGCTTAAAATTCACATTGTGGCGGGACACCAACTGCTCGACCCTCAGCATTGGCTACTTGATGTTCGAGCTTGGCACTTCACCCATTTCTTTCAGGTCCACGACTTGTTCGCCCCGTCACTTGGAAATATTCTTAAAAATTCAATTTCAATTGCAAGCGGGCAATACTTTTGCGCAATAAACTGTTGAACATATATTTTGTAGGAAAAGCACACTACGCCATTAACCGGTATATATAAAATAAATCAAAGAAAAGTACGTTTTACGAAGTACCTTTATTAAATAAAAAACTTAAATACGCCCGTAAAATTAACAGTAACAATGTACAGATATTGAAATACACTTTTATAGTATTATAAAAACAAGTATCTATATAACTTCATACAAATGTACCAACGCGTCTTGTATGTGTGCACGTCCGCCGGAGGCCGTGTACGGAGTAGTACGGACGCACCCATACCCATA